GCAGGAAGTTTTATCAAATTAATTTCTGGAATCTGACTTGAAAAAATTCATTTTGTGGGGGCAGGACTAGGCTTCTGCAATACACAGCCTCGTAGTCAAAAAAAAGCTGGGGAATGAAACTGAATAGAACAGGAAAAAAAAAAAAATCTATGACCTCTCTGGGCACAGAAAATTTCTTCCTTGCATCTAGTCTAAATCTTCCCTCTTTTATTTTAAAACCAGAGTACTGAAAGGCTGCGAGAAGGTCTTCTGGAGCATTCTTGTCTCCAGGCTGAAAAACTCCAGCTCTCTCAGCTTGGCCTCACAGCAGAGGGCTATCCTGCCCGACCTCCTGGGTAGAGCAACATCCCCTCTCCAAACAGAACAGGGATACCCCCAACCACCTGGAACTCTGGCTCCAGAAAGTTATGAGTGAGCCACTGGGTTGTGTTCCTGCATTGGTGACTTGAAAACTGGCCAAAAATAATGAGGCCTGGATTGCCATAGCGTGGGTTTAAAGATGTCGCTCAATGTCTTGTTTCCCACAATAAATACACGCTCCTGCAGGGGTTACTGAGTTGTTTTGTTGGATTACGCTGCACTGGTATGACTTTGGAAGAAGCCTGAACCCTAATGGTAGCCAGCCAACTGCAGCGTTTCCTAGGTATTAGACATGATCCAGTGAAAATTTGTTGAAACCAAGTAGGTGTGGTGGTGGAGTTCTAGGCTTCGGTCTTCTTGCTCTTCTGTGGACTACTGCCACTTGGTTGTGAAAGCTGTAAATACAGTGCTGACCTACAGACTTTCTAACTGGAAAGTAGTCTTCAAGTTAAGCCAGAGAACAAGTATTAGAACAGTTTTTTCTTCAGTGCTTTCTAAAAGCGATTTAGCAGAAATAAAACCAGAGGTAAGGACCCAATGAATATTCCACGAATCCCTGTTCTCCCGAGTGAACAAAACTGAAAAATGAGGCAAGGAATCAAAGTAGTTAATTTATTGTAATGTAGTTAATTTAGAATTACAGTTAATTTACTGGAATTCTAATGCGTTTTTCTGGTTATGGGTGTCATATGCAGAGTCTGAGGAATTACAAACTGAAGGATCAGCATCTCTTAAGAGCTCCAGTACTGGGCAGTACAGTGGGGGGAACAAACCCTCCTGTCTCTGTGCTGAACTCTGAAATCTGCAGCTTTAGCCTCTCAGTGAAAGCATGTTCTGGGGTCCTGCACATACCCATGGGTGTGTAGTTTTAATCAACTGATAAAATGGTGCTCACAAAGTTTTCTTCTTCACAGTGCGTCTGGTGCAAGTGTTGTTGCCATCGACAACAAAATAGAACAGGCAATGGTGAGTAAAAAATAACTTATTTCTACAGGATTAGTGGCTCATCAGTGAGCAGAGTTTCCAGCTGTGTTGTGTTTATATGAGTCTGTAAAATCTCTTCCATCAGGTCAGACCAAGACTAATTTGAAAAAAAAGATTTTTCTGCGTCAATTAGGGGATGACTGCAAACTGGGATTGCCTTTACTGCTGGCCCAAAAGTGTTCTAAAATTAATCTTCCTACAAATTTCTGTGAACAAGCTGATTTAACTTAAAAGTGGTGCTGAAAATAAATAGTACATTTAAGTCTCTTACTTCAGCAAAATCAATTACTAGTTTTTCTTAATTGGCACTTAACGCTTTCCCATCTGTGATGCCTTGTTCAGCTTCAGTTACACCTGTTTGATTTTTGCATCTGGATTTGGAGGCTTTCTCATTTCTCGGTTCTCATACCCCTCAGTGCTTGGAACTGTGCAGATTCCTGCCTCCAGGTTCAAGCCTCAGAGCTGGTATTTTCATTCCAAGTAGCTGGGACATAATTCTAGTCCTGGTCTCTAACATAACTTGAGGTGAGTAGAACCTAATGTTGAATGCTGGAGACAAAGCCTTTGATGTAGGGGCTGCTTTGCAGTGAATAAAAGAGCTCAGTTGTTTGCTTTTGAAGGCTAATTTATTCATACATTTTTAGTGATAAGCGCTTTCATTTTCCCAGCTTAGCTTACCAGTTCAGTGAAAGCAGTAAAATTGTAAATCCTGGGGTTGGAGTGTAGTGAAACTGTTCTTGCACGTGGTGTAACTGTTCGCTTGTTCTTCACAGGATCTAGTGAAAAGCCATTTGATGTATGCAGTAAGAGAAGAAGTGGAAGTCCTGAAGGAACAAATAAAAGAATTAGTTGAAAGAAACTCTTTACTTGAACGGGAAAACGCACTGTTGAAATCTCTTTCAAACAATGATCAGTTATCCCAACTTTCAACCCAACAGGCCAACCCCAGTAGCACTTCACAAGCGCAAGCAGTGATAGCACAGCCTCCGCAGCCTCCACAGCAGCCGAATGTCTCCTCAGCGTAGTGCTTTCCCGCCTCCTCTGGCAACAGAAACCGGAGAGCCGTCTGTCCTTGTGTGCCACTGATGTTGTCTCCACTTTGTATGAAAGCGAGTAGCCATGCTTCTGTTGTGTGTTTGGCCTTTTCAGTATTAGACAATCACTCTACAGCAGCTGTCCCTCACTGGTCCACCGTGAAGTGCAGCTGGTGTGCGTTACGTCATCGGTGCACAAGGGTTGTCGCAGGAGGAGTTGGTAATGTAAAGAATGCCTGCGCTTGCTGTGCGGGAGCCAGGGCTTCAGGAGCTTGGGTGGCTTTCCAGGGTTTCCATTTCCTGCAGGTTACTTTGAGCCTTGCTCTCTGGTAAGAAGTAGCCATTCATCTGCAGAGCCACTGTTCTTTCAGTATAATTAACATTTGCCTACATTAGTTTCATTTGTTTTATTTATTACAGGGCTGCTATTTTCATAATGTACATGAACAATGTCACAGAACTTTTTTTTTATAAATGTATGTATCAGTAAAATGATAGATGGGATTGCGTTTAAATAGATAAAATGTTTAGGCAATAATTGAACAAAAGAATCCTGGCATATTTCTAACACTAATGGCAATTTACCTTTGGTATTTATTTACGGTAGTAAAGATCCAGCTTGAATGTAAATTTTGTATAGAGTGTAAGTATGAAGACCATAGTGCATCTGTACAGGTAGTCACCAGTTATTGTGATATAATAAATAATTGATGGGCTATTTTGATGAAGAAAACTTTGCTCATTTCTGTTTCTACTTTCTAATAGAGAGAAATTGCCATGATTCCTCTGCTTTTTGACATTTCGGTTTGGTTTGTTTGTTTGGGTGGTTTTTTGTTTGTTTGTTTTTTGGGTGGGAATAAAAAGCTGTGAAATTGTTCAACCTACTTTGTAACCAAAGAAGCAAAGCTGTGTACTTGATTTTTTTTTTATTTTATAATGCACATTCTTTATGTATTTTTATTTAGTGTTTTCTCATTCACAACTTTCTTTCCTGTCTAGCATGATCTGCATGACCTATAATCTTTGAACCACTTTCGTACCTCATGTTTTTATCCAGCACTCTTATTGTAATATGTAATAGTCTGTGAACAATGTCAAATAAAAAAGAAAGAACAGCTGGTGTTGGTGGAGCTGAGCTAGTGTACTATGCACTAGTTGTTTAAAAAAAATAAATGAAGTGAGCCATCTTTTGTTCATTTAAAATGGTGTTTTGAATTTCGTATGCTGAAAACATTTTGTTACATTGCAGATTTTAATGTATTTAATAAATGCAACATGCAGATTAAGTCCAGTGTATACTGAGTATTTAAATTAAAAATGTACATTTCATAAATACAGTTTCAAGAGAGACCATTTGTGTAAACTAACGGTGTGTCACATTTCTGAAGTTAAACTGCAGGTTTGCTGAGTTTTTGGCCTGTAGACACTACAGTGTAACTACGTTCAGAAGCACTTTTTTTCTTAAAGTGAAGAAAGGTAACTTCAGTAAGCCAATAAGAGAATAATGCCAAAATTGTAACTGCTTCTCTTGCAACAGACTTTTTTTCTTTCCTTCTAGGAAAAGGGTGATTCTGATGCTGCCAGTGACCCTGTTGGTTTTGATTTTACACTGATGTGTACAAATGAACACCTGTCTGCGTGCTGGGGTGCCAAGACAGTTTGGTATGTAGTGTATTAAACCCAAGAATTTGCTTTTGAGACACCTGCAGGAGAGCAGACAGCTGGCATGGCCTCCCCAGAGCCCTGCCTGCGCCCTCAGCCCGGCACGCTGCAGCCCTGCTCACGGCTTGGCCTGAATCTGTTCTTGCTTTGCTGTCTTGTTGTCCTTGTGTATGTCTTGCTCTGGTCAGGTTTGCGTGGTAGGTAAAGCAAAACAGAAGTGACACTGGAAACTGCACATTTTGCTGTCTGGAGATCTCATAGAAGCATCCTTGTTCTGTGTTCTAGAAACTTAAAACTTCACACCTTCCTGGTAAGCGTCAGTTCAGACCACAGTTCAATAAAACAATGTCTAGGTATGTTTTTGAAAAGTACTCACTTATATGAAACACTTTAAACTGATCTTCCCTTCAGTCGCAGATCAGTGCTCTTGGCCTGCTCCAAGTCCTTCAGCAGAACGAGAGCTTTGCACACAGCTAGGGCAGCAGAGTATTCCAGTAGTCAAGTGTGTTTTCCCTCTAGCCTGATCAGCTGTTTGCTCCAGCCATACAGCAAGGATGCAGCTGGCACAATGACAGGGACAAAGGGGGGCACCTGTGGGAACAGAAGCCCTTCATTCAGATGAGTAGTTGATTAAAACTTCTAGGGGGGAGGCGCTCTAACTGTCATTCATTCTGGGGGAGTGAAATTGTGATGAGACATTTGAAACATGACTGAAGTTGTTGATGTCCTGGTGGTGGAAGCAGAGAACTGGGGCTGCTGAGGAGAGTCCTAAGCACTTCTGTGTCCTGTGGAGCGCTGTGGTGTCTGTGTGTCTCCTCTCGCTCTCCTGGAACACTTATGAACTTGTTGTATGGAAATTTGCGCAAGCTCTGCTGTGTAGCAACAGTTACATCCTCTTATACGCAGGTGTTCTGGATAGGCTTTTTCTCTGGAAGGAAAAAAGTATTTAGTAAATCTGCTGAAAATAGGGGATGGGGTGAAGATTAAACTGATCCTGTTAGGAATCTTTTGTGTGCTTTGTTTTGCTCTGCTCCCATCAGGTTTAGGTTTGGTTTTTGGTTTTAGTTTTCTTCTAGTGGTAAGTTGTATTCGTCTCTAAACGCCAACTCCACTTGCTGTGCGAGAACGCTGTAAAATGACAGAGGGGTTTTGAATTGCTGCTGTCTCCTCCTGGGGGCAGCACGAGGCTGCTGCCTGGAAAGGAGGGAACTGCGCTTCCTCGGTGGGAGGTTCTTGGCTGTTCTGAAGCATTTGACTTCATTCACGGGCGGTTGCGGGGCTGTTGGGCTACGCTGTCTGCGCGCAGCTTTGTGTGCCCAGTGTCGGCCAGCTGCCCGCCGCTGTGACACCTGCCTTTGTCCTCTCGTGTGACCGCGGAGCGATGTCACCCATCCACCCGTCAGTGCTGGTGTGAGGCTGAGGGACAGGGACCTGTGCCCCCCATACGTTCAGGTTCCAGTCCCCTGTGGGGAGCAGAGCTGTTGCACGTTGCTCTAATAGGTGTCTTTAAAATTATTAGCTTCAGCGTAACAACTAGAGGAGTAATACAGCTATGGGACTTGCTGTGCTTCAAAAGGAGGTTCACCCTTCGGTTGTGTGCGTGGCACAGGTGGTGGGACGCGGCTGTTTTGGTGTCTGCAGCAGAGAGCAGACCAGAGCAGACAGGTCCTAGAGCGGCAGCGCGTGGCTCTGCATTGGCCCCTGCATTTTGGAGGCTGCGACAGAACATGCAGGGAAAGGCTACAAAAAAACAAGGATGTGGAGGAAATGCTGAATGTGGAGAGCCTGAGAAAGCTGTGACTTGGGCTTAAAGGGGCAAGCTGCAGGAAGGCTGGCACAAGCAGCTTGGAGACTCCAGGAAAGCTGATGGGTGGGGCGAGCACAGGACAGTTATTCACAAGATCTCACCGATGGGGAGTGTGTATTTTTCATGTAGCTGAACATGAACTTTGGAGATAGTTCCCATGGGATGCTGTGGAGGTAGATAGGCTGTTCCAAAAGGGCTTAGGCAGATTCTTGGGCAGCAAGGTGACAAAAAGGGATGTACCCTCTTACCACTCCAACACAACGCCTCTGGCTGTGAGGAGAGGAGCAGGAGGGCAACAAACGACAACAGGTGGATCAACTTCCCTGTCCTCCTACTGCCACTGCCCAAAGCAAAGCACTGGTCTAGATGGAGGCTGTCTTTCCTGAAAAAAAAGCTTTGCTCTTCAATAACAAATTTATAGCATTTTGTGGTTTAAAGTAAGGTTTCAGTCAAGCAATGGTCCAGCAGATCAGCCCCTTTGAGCTTTTGTTTGAGCAAGTTTCATTGCATTTCTATTGACCTGCCCTAGAAAGGCGAGTCCCCTGGATCACTGTGGTCTGGGGTGGGCAGTTCTGAGTTCTAATACAGCCATCTTCCCTTGATTTCGCCCCTACCCCTTGAGCACGCAAGGGTATTTATTTTTCCTTACACCATGCAGTATGCTGCTTTTGTGGTGTACAAGTGCTTTTCAATTTGTGGACAGTCTGTGTTCATGTTAAAGGACCACAAGTTTCCCCTTTCCTCTTTAGACGGTGCTACAGAAAGAGACATTTGGTGGAGTCCCAGGTCCTGCTTCTCGCAGCATCCAGACCAGCTCCTCCTTCCTCAGGTAACGGGTGGGAGGCTCTGTGGGATGGCTGAGGCGGTAAATCCACATCTCCTGCTCACCCGTTGGAGCCAGCCTCGAGCAGACTCCTGCTCTCGTTCCCAACAGCTTCACTTGTCATTTGTGGGCTGGAGCCGCGGGCTGGACACTGGTGGTGGGGGAGCCAGCTCCCGTCCCAACGGTTGTTGGTGAATTTCTGCTGATGCTGTACCATGGTTGGAATGATGGAATGGCTTGGTTTCAGCGGGGCTGCTCAATGCTGCTTAGCGGCGGAGCACGCTGGGCTGGCGTCGCTCAGGAGCTGGCAGCGCGGCTCCGGGCCGG